AATCCGCCCCCAGGCCTGAGCCAAGGTAGCCTCAAGATCTACGCAAAATCAGACAGGACAACAGGTCACTTTTAATATGAGAAAACTTAACTTAGAAATAGCATGAAAGTATTTATAGGGACACAGAGGAGGTCATATTTTTGCTCTGAAGAACTCACAATTTTCGATTATTACCTGAAAGTTATTTGTATTGACAAAAATCAGCTTCTAGGTCTTACCAAACATCCTGACCATCTGCTTATGCTTTGTTGCATCAAAGCTTTCAATTCCCCAGTCTCCCCAAAGAATGAAGCATTTTTATTTCCATTTAAATAATTCCAACACATTGGGAAGAATAAAACATTTTACCACCATTTAAGTAATTCCAGCACGTGAGAGTGCTCTGGGATTCCTTCTACTTAACGTATAAAAGGCATAGCAGGTATAATTATTTCCAACAAATAGTTGTTGAACACCAGCTACCTACAAGGCATTTGACCAGCTCAAATAATTGCAAACATTAAAATCACTTGTGAAACAAATCACCATATCACATTCTCCATACATGTACTTCCATAATTCAACAGTTTAGGCAAACTCAACAACACCCTTCAGGAGGCAGACACCCTTTCCATATAGCTGGGTAATTGTTAGCAGAAATCCGCTGTCGTAATAAGCCATTTTACAGGAATGCCGGTTCAGTTCTATTCTGCCTAAAGAAGATCTAGAGTCCGCCTTTGTTCCTAACCTGGGAGGATGTGAGGAAATAACAATACCTTCTTTCAGAAATTATGGAGACTGAAAGGTAGGACCCTCCTCTCCCAGATAAGCACTATCAGGAGGTGGCTTGGGTGAGCCTTCCAGTCAGCTGGGCACACCAGCCTCACTGGAGGGAGCAAGGTGCTGGTGGCAGGACAAGTGTCTTACTTTCAGAGACTGGCAAGGACCTCCGCTCCTCTGTGGGGAAGTGCATGTGGCCAAGGCATCCCCAGGGTCCTCAGAGTTATGTCGCCTGTCACTGTGGCCGAATGTCTACAGCCTGCAATTGAGTTATGCAGCCAATGCCTTCCAAAAGCCTGCGTTTTAGGGTTTGAGTGAGCTTCGTGCTTAGCTTTTCTCCCTCCCTTACCTTTTTATTCACAGTTTCCAATACATAAGGCACTTTATAATATCCATGGAAACCTTCTCAGCCACAGATTTAGAACAGGACTATGACCAAGTGTCAGCCATCGGGGAGGCATCTGAGAGCATCCAGTAATGTGGCACCAACATGTGACTCTCTTTTTCTAATCAGGTCCCCAAAGGGGCGTTTCTTTGCAAAGGGCCACATGCTGAGAGCTTTAGCTGAGTAAGAAGCAGCAGCCACCTGACAGGATGGCTTAGGAATGGAGTTTCCCTCAGCGCAGGTAACAGTGGGCAGTTGTATAGCATGGACCCAAACCTCTCTTCAACACTCGAGAAATGTCTGTGGAGTGAATGTTGCTGCACTTTTTCGGAGGGCTGTCTGTCATTATTATAACACGTGGACACTTCTCAGAAGCAGGAATCCTCATGCTTGAATTTTTCGTTATTCTTCTCTCCACAACCCCCTGGCTCCCTGAGAGTGATCTGAGCTCAGGAACAGATAATAAAATGTGCCACTGAAATAATGGACCCTGTGCTCTTGAAATCCTCTGTCCCCATTCTGTATACAGTTGTCCCTCAGTATCCATGGACATTTGTCCCAAGACCCCTCACAGGTGTCAAATCCTCAGATGCTCAGGAACTTTATATAAAGTGCTATTTGCATAGAACTTAACACCCATTTTCCCCTATGTGTTCAGTTATCTCTCTATCACTTAGTACCTAGCAATGTAAATGCTATGTAAATAGCTGTTACAGTTGTTTCGGTAATAATGATTTTGAGGGAAAGCCTGTACATGTTCAGTACAGTTGTAATTTTTTTCCCAATATTTTAAATCCACAGTTAGTTGATGGGGAGAGTGAAGATTTGGGGAACCAGCTGCATATCCTGGAACAGTCTTCAGCAATTCCCCCCATCTCATCTTTTCCATTTTCTGAACAAGTATCCAGGAAAAACTGTGAAACATTAAAAGACCAAGCTTATTGAATTCTAAACTGGCTCTTTTTTGAGAGAACAGCTACACATTGGTGAAAATGAAAGCAGAATATAGGCCCTGGGCTGCAAGTGCCCTGACCTATCTTTCCGCCCATGGCCATGAGCCAGTCGTACCATGCATCTGTCTTTCAGCTGCCTCTAGCCATAAACTGGCATGGCAACTTTCTTGCACCTGTTATGCATGATCCAGTTTGAAACACCAATGTTTGCTGTACAAATGAAATGTGTTATCAGTCAAGCCTGGTTCGAACCAGAGAATTCTAATCTCTGTTCCTCAAAAGAATGTGTGCTTCCCTCATATGGGACAAATTGGAAGTCCGAAAGCTACAAGAGCAAATTGCTAGTACCAGTGGAGGTACAGACAGCATGTGGAACAATCTTGGTGCCACATCTTCCATGGCAAGACAGATACTGAGATTCAGAAATTCTCCAAGTTGCTTTCCCTCCCAACCCATTCTCTTCCATTTAACAACTTTATTTAGGGACTGTCATCCCTAAATGTGTCTTAAGATTGTTCCTTGGAAACCACAGTTCAAAAGGAAGGTAGTCAAGGCCACAAAGAAACACAGGCCATGGGTAAAAACAGTTTCATCCAACATAGAATAGAGAAAACGGTAACAAACCCCACTGGGACTTTGTATTAAATTGACTTTTTGTAAAGCAAGTATCCAATTCTTTTTGTTTTCTTGTTTTGTTGTTATCGTTACTGTTGGTTTTTACCCCTTTACATATAGAGATATGAGATTTTGTACAAGCAAAGTAACCAGTCCAAGCTTCAGATTTTTCATCTGTAAGATGAGGCAAATAATAAGAACTACCACACAAGGTTTCCAGGGGACCATACAGGTGACATATCCAGGTAAAGCCCTTAGCAATTTCCTAGCACACATTAAGGGCTCTGCAAACATTTTCTCTTTTTAATAAAGGTGCCAAGGAGCAGAAAAGGGCCAGGGTGATAAAAGAGGGGGTTGTTGCACTTCCAAAGACATTGAGGATTGCCCCAGATTTAAAAGGTTAGGAGCACTCCATTTTTGGTTTGTAGAGTAAAGTGATTTTGAAAATCTGGAGAAGCCCCAGATCATGATAGAACAAGGCTGCCACATACATGGAGAAGAAGGAACTCCTGATCTACACTGAAATAAAATGAGTGCTGTGAAATAAAATCAACCAACACACCATTCCCACAAACCCAAAGAAGTTCTCATGAGAAGGAAAATTTAAAAAGGGTGGGTACGTTAGATGTGCATGGTTCAAATCACACTCTGTTCTCTGCTCCTCCCCACAAAGGCGGCCAACTCCTGATTAGGGAGAAGGGGGGAGATAAGATCAGAGATGTCCTTCACAAGAGAGCTGAGTCCTGTCTCTCCCACTGACCCAAAAAAGAGCTGGCGTCCTAGCAGGGCACAGGCACAAGGATAAGAACGAGGAGGTGTGGGCTCCTTGGACTCCCCCAAGCCTGTGTGCCTGGGAGGAAGAGTTCCGTGGTGACAGCAGCCTGTCAAATTCCTTGTGTGTACAGGGACAGAGGGAGGCAGGCATGGCCCTGAGACACTGGGGCCAGAGATCTACCTCTCCCACTAGCTTCGTGACCTTGAGCAAGCCACACACTATTTTCAGAGCTTCTGTTTCTTTGCATGAAATGCAAAGAGACTAATTTCTTCCCCACACATCCTCCTAGGGACATCTAGGGAATACAGTTGATGAGTGGATGGAAGGGCACTTCAAAAGTGGAAGCAGGAACCAGGAGCAAGGAATACTCATTAACAATGGGATTATTTTTTCAGCAGTAGGTGAGAAGGCACAAAAGCAAAGGACTGTGACTGTGTGTGCTCTGGAGTGGTGTGTGTGTGTATGTGTGTGTGTGTGTGTGTGTGAGAGAGAGAGAGAGAGAGTTTTCCTGGGGTTCCCCTGAGTGAATGAGGGACTCCAGAGTGTATGCATGGGTATGTGCTCATGGGGAGCTGCAAGGGGCCGTGTTAGGTGAATCCAGGCAAAGGCTGTTTATGGCTGGAGAGAGACAGAAGCCACAGAGGGGGTGGAAACAGAGGGGCACAGGTTCCAAACAGAATGAGGCCAAGCCCAGGGCCTCTCTTCACCAAGCTAGTGCCCACATTTCCCACCTAAAGTGGATACCCATGAACTAGGAGAAAATACCACTACCTACCCTCGTACACCACTACACCCCTCACTACAGCATCCCACCCAACTGGCAGCAGATTTCACTCGGAAGCTGACGTGTCACAATGAAATCAAAGTCTTTCCCCACGAACTCCTCCCCTTCCACCTTCCTCCAAACCAATGCTGTCGTAATCATATTCCTGAGACTAGTAATTCCTTCCATCTCATGTCCATTCTTTTCTTCTGCCTTTTCTGCTTTTTTCTTAGAGATAAGTTACCGTTTGGATTGGGACAGGAGTGGAGATGAAGGGATATGGCCAGGAGGGAGGAAGGGAGGTGCCAGCTGCCGAATCTCCTACAGGCAGCTCCTCCTGCACACTCACCCCTTTCTCAAGTTCCCTTTAAATCCCACACCGCCTGCCCCCTCCGTCGGAGAGGCTGAGGAGGGTCTCAAGCTCCTGAGGCCCTGGGGACCGCAGTCCCCGGGGCCATCTGGGAGAGATTAGTCTGCAGATTTCAGGTAGCAGCCAGCACACACGTGCGGCCCACATGACACCCACTAATTCCATCCGCACAGCTCTCCCAACAAACAGCAGTGCCTTTCACAGAGAAGAAAATGCCTGCCTGAGAGAGGAGCCTCTGAGAAAGGCAGTGGTAACCGCCTCCCAGGCACCAGCCCCCACCATCCCACCCCCCATTCAATCACTGGGCCCCAGCAACAGGCCTTAGAAAAGCAAGCGAGAAACCCAGAAAGAAAAAAATATATATATTTATTATCATTGTATATTTAGGTAGCGAGTTCCAGGGGTTTTAGAAGTTCTGATGTGGTAATGACAATTTCAGTTGGTGGTTTGATTGTTTTCTCAAAACCTGTAAATCCAGACCAGAAATGTAGAAAGATTGTGATCTGAAAGCTCTCTATCTATCACTCCAAATACTCTCCGAAGGACTGTCTCCAACATGCCTTCTTATAGAAAGAAGTGAGGGCAGGAAATTCACAAAGCACCAGGACAAGGACAGGTTTGTCAGTGACACAGGCAGCCGCCCATAGGACACATCCGGAGGGAAGCCAGAGGACATCTTTAGTTAACTGGCCCAGGGGTCCCTCCTATGTAAAATCCTACCAGTAGATAGTCACTGCTTTGACTAAATTACAGCACACCTGTAACCCCAGGACTCTGGATGGCTGAGGCAGAGAGAACCTAAGTTTGAGGCCAGCCTGGGCAACTTAGTGAGATCTTGTTTTGGAGGGGAGAAGCTCCATGCGAAGGTCCTGGATTCAATCTCCAGTACTACTGAACCAGGATTTTTTCTAAGTTGATATTCATTCCCTCAATGAACATTTTTTCAGTCGAATTCAGCAATTGGCCAGGGATACAAAGCAGATAAAAGGAGCGCTTCCCCTCGAGGAGATGAGTTCTGTGGTGAGGACGCATATACAAAGGACAAATGACAGAGTAATAAAGGCCCAAATAAAGCATGATAAGACCTTGGACACAGGAAAGTATCAATCTCTAGGGAATGCCCCAGTCTTCCCAGGGGGGTTAGTACTTGAACTGCATCCCCTATTAAACTCCGGCTGCCTCTGATGGAGAGCATAGTGACCTTTAATCGCCATTTACTCCATAATCTGAATAAGTCCCACATCTTGGTCAAAATAACGGTAGGTGAGAACAGCTTCTACCTGGGAGAGACAGGCTTCCCTGAAAAGAAGCGTTAGAAGAAGGGACTGTAAGAAAGCCTGCCTAATTTGTGACAAAAGAAAATCTTACCATAGGAAGCAAGTCAGTACATCAATCTCGGATTTTTCGGAATCAAAAGAGAAACTAATCTTTCTCATTCTTCAGTTTCCAAGGCAACTTCACCCCCACCTTCTGGGTTGCCTAACTACAAATCACTGGCAGAAGTGAAACTGGGATGCAGAAGCCCAGAGGGAGAAGAAGGAGATGGTTGAGTTTTCCTCCATCTCTGCCTGAAAGCACTGGGCCGGCCCAGACGGGTGGCAGCAAGACTGAGGCCTGGCCGAGCTGGAGAGGGGAGCCAGGGAGGCAAAAGCCCTTGTACCTCCCTGCAGCCCTCAGACCCAAGTTCCCAGGGCAGACTCAGACTCAAGAGAAAACAGAGCAATTACAGGCTTGGGCTCTAGTCAGAATTGAAGGGGGAAAAAGAATCCTTGAGTTCCAAGAAACTCCACCTTCCCAGGCCTCTTCCGGAACCTCCACGCTCAGCCTGCTCAGCGCTTGGCCACTGCCATGCTCTCCTCCCCCAGATTTCTTTGCTTTTGGAAAATCATCTGGAAACTGTCATCACCACTGTGCCGGTTGGCAGATGTCCCTCAAAGAGAGGGAAGTGTACCACACACTACAAGGCGTTTCTGGGCTTGAACCAAGAAGGGGCGGAGGGTGGGCAGAGGTGGAGAAGATGGCTCCGGGCTAGAGGAGGAAGGAGGCAAAGGGGCTGCCCCTGGGCCAAGAGTCTGGAGACCACTCCTCACTCCTGCCTTTCGAGCCCCTCAGCGGCTGCGTGGAGTGGCAAGCACGGAGGGCAGCGCTCTGTGACCTACGGGAAGAATCCATGGCACAGGCAGAGAGGGACAAACTCAGCCAGAGGGAGGGTACGGAGGGTTACAGGTAGACAGAAGCGGAACTCTGACAGAAATCAGACTTAGCGATAACGTAAAAGCAGGGACCCAACGGGTCTCCTTTGGCGCACGTGTACATAATATGATCTCAAGCCAAAGTCACCAAGCTGGCTGATTTGGGAAAGAGAATGATTTAACATTGAGTGAACTGGCAGAAGACAATAAGGGAAAGGATGGCAGGTGGAGAAGTCTGGAAGGGATTTGTTGTCTCCACTGCCTTGCGCTTCCTCTCCCTACAGCTCTCTTCCTTCATCTACAGCCTTAGGATAACATCTTGAGTTGTGCACCCCCAGCTTCTGCCTAGCCTGTGCCCCATGCCTAACAAATCTGAGAGCCCCAGCAACCCCAGCCCTGGTTTGCTGCCTGTGACCCCCAATGGTTACTATGGTTGGAGGTCAAACTGAGGCTCTGCTTGGGGCTCTCTCAGGAGACTCTGGGGAGGGGTGGGGGGACTCTGCAGGTGAGTATTTCTGGTTAGAATGCCTGAGCAGACCCCACACACACACACACACACACACAGCCTGCCTACCTGAGAGAGCAACCTTCAGTCGGTTACCCCCTGCTTTGGCTGCCCAGCATCCCAACTTTTGAGATGTCACCACTGTTCTGTGATAGTATTAAGGGCAACATTAAATACCGGAACTTGACTCTACGGTTACCCTTAACCGTGAATCATACCCATTACTGCTTATCTGTCTCAGCTTTACTGGCGGATATGAAGGCAAATGAGACCAAGACACTGCACTTCTGCCAACGGAAGGGGCCGATTCTGGGAGCTCTGGAGGCACCCCAGGAAGGAGAGACTTCGGTCAGCAACCTGACTGTGTACTGCCAAGCCTGCCCTGGAGGTTCAGGCAACCTGGAAGAAGGAGAAGAAGTTTCCAGTCCTAGAACTCAGTGTGAGAGGAAACCACCTGCCCCTCCCATTGGAAGTGGATACATTCTGTCCTCAGATAGTGACAGGGACTCTATGAGATTTTCTGGGTCTTAATGATGTGAGGAGTGGGAGTATAAAAATCTGACCCTCTCTCCTCCCTTTCCCAAATTTCTCAACCCATCCAAAAAACATAAAAGCTGGAAGGGGCCGGGGGAAAAGGGATTCCAGTCCATTATTACTTTGACATCTGTGACGGGGAAGGGCCTTGGGAGAAGGGTAGCCCTCACAAAGGAGGAAAACCAAAAATCTCCACTTTCTTCAAAACTGCTGATCTGCCTCTGAGGCTGAGAGAGAGCCCAGGAGAGCTCTGCCTCGCTTCAAGGGGGTGCACCCTGTCTTCCCTGCAGCCTTTTACACAAAGAAGAGCACCATGAAATTTATTTGAAGGCAGGAAGCCCAGCCAAACGAGTTGCTTTGGGCCCCCAGGCTGGAAATCCCGGGGCTGTGGAGCAAGGCCGGTCCGCCTGCCCCCAGTGGGGGCATGAGCCCCATCTCCACGTCTGTGGTCAGAGCCACCGGTTATGATGCCACATTAGCATAGAAGATCAAAAGTTGGGGGGTGACCTCGTGACCACGGCCTCCTCCAGGCCCTGGGGACTGAGATAGCTGTTTCCAGAGTTTGACCAAGGGCTGAGACCCAGCGTCGCCTTCTGGCCCTGGAGGGTCCCTCACCCTCACGTGGCTTCGCAGAACCTAACACCACGCAGCTGCGAGGAAGCTCTGTTTGGCCCCAGAGAAGCTCCGGGTGCAGGAAACGCGAGAAGCCCCTGCCGGGGGCTTCCCGGATCCTGCGGAGCAGGGAAAGGGTTTCAAGAAAGATACAAAATAACTCCTCTCTATTCCACCAGTTACCTTGCAAGCTATCTTCCAGGCGTGCCTTTCTCTTCGGTGGTTTGATGGAGACATTGTTTCCCGTTACTGAAGATCAGAAATAGTCAACACCCACCCAGCAGGGCGAGATGCTCCTCAGAGTGTCTCTAGGCTGAGGAAATTGTCCACAGAAGCGTCCTCCCGAGGGAAACCTTACAAAACTCAGCACTGTGGCCCGTGCCCTGCTTGGGCCTAAACGCCCCCGAAGGGAAAGGTGGTGGGAGATGAGGAAGCCTCTGTCCACGTGGTTAGCTCCCGAGGCTGACCTGAGACCCCAGGCCGGCGGAGTCTGCCGCTGCGTGGAGCGCTCCCGTGATGTTTATTTTCAAATCAGCGAGGCAACAGCACCGTGAGCTAAAAAGAGGCTCAGTGGAGACGGGCAGAGAGGGCAAGACCTGGCCTAGGATATTCACCGCAGGGCATTCGAGGGAGTCTGCCGGGGCAAGCTGCTCACAGCATCGCTAAGTACAGATATTTTGGGAAAACCAAGAATGGAAGGGGAGGGGGCACAGTACCTGTGGAATGGGGGCCTCTCACCCCCACGCTCCTTTCCCCTCTGAGGCTCAGCCGCTCCCTGACCGGCCAGCAGGTCCGGTCCTGGGCTTCTTCGGTTCAGGTGCTCAGCCCCGGGAGCTCTGCTGGGTTCCAGCCACCAGATGCCCCCCGGGACCTGGCAGGGTCACCCGGGGGCAGGGCGAAGGTTCACACCCCCGCACCCAGCATCCACACTTCAGCTGCTCTTTCTCTTCGAAAACAGAAAAAGGGAGGACAACTGAGATGCCCCTCCCAGCCTGTACTTTTAGTGGGGGGCTGCGGTTATACTTATAACCTCTCCAAGTAGGGCGTCCGTTTGGGAAGAAATTAACTTGTAGGAACTCACATGCAAAGGCGATTTGGGAACGCCTGGCAGACAGGTCTGGTGGCTGGGATGGGAAATGCACCTACTGGGGGCAAGGGGTCCAAGGGTCACATTTACTGAGACCTTTACTGCGCGCCTACAAAGCAGCCTGGTTCTTTCCTTTTCCCTTCTGCTGCTGCTGCTGTCCAGAGAGGAACGCCTGTCCTAAGACTGGGGCTTACCTGCCCTTCCCATCTAAAGGAAATTCGAGTCTGAGTGAAAAAGCACAGCGAAAAGTACTGAGGAGCGGTTGGGAGCCCAGGGTGGCGCGGGGCCTGAGCGTGCCACCAGGGCCTGAGGCCCTGCAGGATTCGCTCAAGTGGACCAGGCCTGGGCACTGGAGGACAGAAGGGGCATCCCCGCGGGTGAGCGCTTCTGTAGGCAGCACTGCCCGGGGCAGGATCGCTGGGGTTCAGCACATCTTCCCAGGAAAACGGATTTAGACCTTATCCCCACTTTCGCTAAGGAATTTTAGGTAGGGACGCTGTGGTCCTTAATTCCCCAGGTGACAGAACGCATCTGCCCTCATCCCTCCCCTCCATTCGGAGCCCGAAGCCCCTCCAGCTGAGCGTTTGCGCAGCGCCGCGGAGCGGGAAAGACGCCCCGCGCCAACTGCGCTCCGGGCTCCCCTCGCTCGTGCGTGTTCGAGGAGGAGAAGTTGGAGGCCCCCGCGGGGGAAATTGAGCCCGGCGCCGGCCCGGGATGCTACAAGAGGGAGGCTGGGGATGGGGGGAGGGCTCCTAGACCTCGGTTTCCCAAGGATCCCCCTTGAGATCACTCGCACCTCGGCGACTCCGCCCCTGGCGGCAGACCTCGTGCCGCTGGCTTCAGAGCAGGTACAAAGCCTGTCGCCACCGTGAAATGCCTTCAGTCGCCTGCCGTGTGTCTTGGACCTTCGTCCTTTCCGGCCCTCGCCCCCGTCCGGTTGAGGACCCTGGGGCGTTTAGCTCCTAGCAGAACGCTCTGCCCCAAACTAGGCCAACAGCCTCAGTTTCCCCGATCTGTACCCTGAACATCGGAGCGAGTTCTTCCGCCCTAAGCTCTGGCTGAGGTCCTCGGCTGCGGGCTGCGAGCGTCTTCTCTCGTCAGGAAGGAGCCGTCAGGGCGACCAGGGAAAATGAAGTCGAAGGAACCCAAGCTTCTGGATTGGGAAAGGGAAAAAAAGTTGGGCACCAGAGGCCCCTAAGGAAATGCAGAAGCAGCCATTCTGTAACTGAAGGTGCCCACGAGCCACGCTCGGCCTGACCTCGGCACGCCAGGCGACTCTTGGCACCTGGGGAGGAGGGGCCGGCTCAGGGTCTCCGTCTCCAGCCCTGCCGGCGGAGAACTGTCAGGCACCTCCAGGGCTCCTTTCTGCCTGGTTCCCCGTAGGCGGACACTTCCCGAGTTCCCCTAACGATGCTCCCGGGGCTGGACCTGGACAGGAGGGAATATCTTATAGGAATTCCTCCAGAGATAAATCTCGGCCCCAAAGCCGCCCAGACTGAAGGGAACACACCAGGACTCTCCCGCCCCGCCACCACCATCAAAGTTTTCCCGCAGTTTCTCTGAGTTAGAGACCGTTTCTGGGCTTTTGGCGCCTCCTCTGGACACAGCTGAAAATTACAGTCCAGTTTGAAGACTAATTTTCAAAAAAAAAAAAAAAAAAATGTTTGCATCAAAAAACCAGAAAATGTATATAGCACCAGAGATTGTTATTTAAGCTGATGCTATACGTTACCTTCCTTGTTACATTTTTGGGTTACAGATATATCTATGCATACACTTACATATCGACGAATATTTAGTGAATTATTCCAAAATATCTTAGTCACAGTTGTCCTCACTGCCTTTGTGCCACTAAATATGATAATGACAATTTAAAAATTAAATCGTGGAGAGTTAGTTAAAACATCTGACCAGTTGTCTCCGGATTCTCCTCCTGATCAGGTAGGTGTCGGAGAATCACACAAACATACACACAAATGTACCCTTTCCAGGTCTCAATGTGTGTGCATACTACGCGGGACTATTTATTCTTCCCAAGAACGGATCATGCTGTTCTTAAATATTTTGAGAGTAGCCACAGAGCCAAGAATACAAGACTGTTGTTTGCCGGTCTGGTAAACTCGCAAACAAGCTATAAGGTGGTAGAGACACCCGAGGCCGGAGAGTTGCATTCGTTTAGAAAGAAAATCCTGTTGACCAGGAGTGTGACTTACTACTTATCAACAGTTCCTTTTCCTATCGGAAACGTCGACTTCGGAAGAAAGCAAGAGAAGAGAGTTTTTAAAAAAAACACTTCAAATAAAACTTTCGTTTAAACCTCATCAGAATGATCACACTTGGCAAATTAGGGGAAGAAAACCTGTCTTTGATATGACGTGGGCCGATTCACAACCTCTGTAATTTAACTCAAGGCGAACTTTTGCAAGAGGCAGGCGGCTGGGAAGGGGAGAGTTGAAATTAACAGTTTTCCTCCCTTGTGCGTTTGTTTGTGATTCTCAAGTCTTGTAACCGGTGGGCAACTGGGATTGTTCTGCTCCAGAATAGCCCCGCACGTACCCAGCCCGGCTCTAAGAGTTCCCGGAAAGTACAAAGGTTGTGCTCAAATCACACTTGGAATACATCAGAGACTCCTCGGCGGCCTCCCTCAGAACTCCACCTGCGCGGCTCGGAAAGGACCGGCTCAGGGCTGAGCGACTGGCGCTATCCCGCTCCGGGGGCTCCGGGAAGGAGGGCGAGAGCGGGCACCGCACGGCTCTGCCAAAGCGGGCCATTCTGTCTTCAAGGGTGCCCATGTGGGGGCAGCTTTACAACCCAAGTGACCGCCTTCGGCCTCTCGGCCCGGGGCGGCCACATTCGCAAAGTTCCCTCTCCGAGCTAGAGCAGTTTGCAAGCTCTTCCCGGGGCAACTCTGCTGACATTTCTGGCCTTAGCCAGAAGGCGAAGAGCAGACCGTCACGGCAGCAACCCTGTCACTGAGAAGCGACGGCGGGCGGCGGCTTGGAGCCCGGAGAAGGGCTCGTCAGAGTTCAGGGTCGGGGTGGCGCGCGGGCCCCAAACCAACGCCCCAGCCTCCGCCAGCGAGGACCTCGCTTTGGTTTTCATTGATTCCCTTCTCGAGAGCGCAGCAGAAACCTGACCGGCCGCGCCAGCCCCGGCGAACCAGAGCATGTTAATCTATTTATATGGATTATTACGGAGGAACAGCGGGCTTTGAGTCACCAAAACATTTGCTTCCAAAGACCATTTCTAAGCACTTTCCGAAGCGAGCAGGCTCCGGGCGCAGAAACGGGGCTACGCGTTTAGGGGCGGCTGCTTTTCCAATATCGAAAACTCCGGCGAAGTCCCCGGTGCGCCAAGAGACCAGTGAAAAGAAGTGTCGAGATGGGGTAGATCCTAGTCTAGACACGCAAGCGCGCGCACACACACACACACACACGCACATGCACATGCACGCACACACGCGCGTGCGCGCGCAAAGATTCACGCGGACACTGCACCAAAATTCTGACATTCCGAGAGTGTGGCAACTTACACACTCGGACGTCCCGGGTCCCCCGCCTTCCCCGCAGCGCTCCCCCCCCCATTGCTATCCCCTCCCCTCTCCTCCCCTCCAGTCTCGTCACCCGGCCCATTGCCACAACCCTCCTCCCCCCTCCAAAATCGAGTCCAATGAGCTGCTTGCCAGCCAGGGCTGCCCGGCTGTGATTGGCTGGACGTCTCTAAGGTGACAAGGAGTATTTATTAAGGAGACCCTGGGCTGGGAGTCCGCGAGCCGAGAGCGGAGCTCGGAACTGACTGGGAACTTCTGCGGCGCTGCGACTTGCCAGTATCAGCCCGGGAACTTTTTGCAAGAGGAGTAGAGAAGGGTGCAAGTGCCCCACTTTTGTTCTTTCTCCCCTTCCTCCTCCTCCTCTCCAAGTCGCCTTTCCCATTTGGAGCAGGCAGCTGCGGACCAGCCACCCCAGCGCCAGCCTCCTCGGGAGCCGCTCGTTCCGCGTCCGCGTCCTCGACCGGGCAGCAGAGGGGAGAGGAGCCGCGCCTTGAGTCCCCGAGCCGCAGCGGCTTCTCGCCTTTCCCAGCCACCCGCCCCCTGCCCCGGGCCCGCGTATGAATCTCCTGGACCCCTTCATGAAGATGACCGACGAGCAGGAGAAGGGCCTGTCCGGCGCCCCCAGCCCCACCATGTCCGAGGACTCGGCCGGCTCGCCCTGCCCATCGGGCTCCGGCTCGGACACGGAGAACACGCGGCCGCAGGAGAACACGTTCCCTAAGGGCGAGCCGGACCTGAAGAAGGAGAGCGAAGAGGACAAGTTCCCCGTGTGCATCCGCGAGGCGGTCAGCCAGGTGCTCAAGGGCTACGACTGGACCCTGGTGCCCATGCCCGTGCGCGTCAACGGCTCCAGCAAGAACAAGCCGCACGTCAAGCGGCCCATGAACGCCTTCATGGTGTGGGCGCAGGCGGCGCGCAGGAAGCTGGCGGACCAGTACCCGCACCTGCACAATGCCGAGCTCAGCAAGACGCTGGGCAAGCTCTGGAGGTAGGGCCCGGAGGGGCGCCGCGCTGGGTGGGCTGGGGGCGCCCGGGTCTCTGGCCCAGACGGACGGCCCCGCCCCGCCTCCCCTCCCGAGGCCCGGAGGAGCGGTTGCGGGAGCCGGAGGAGAGGGTGCGGGGGCGAGGTGTAAGTTTGGCTCTGAGTTTGACACTGTTCGTGGGAGCGGGCGCCCGAGTTCGAGAAGGCTTGTAGGAGACGGGAGGGGACGGACTGGCAGCCTGGTAGCCTTGAAGTTTAGGGGGGTCCCGCTCCATCCTCTCTCGTACTGTGTTCTCCGGCGGTTCTATGGGGGGGGGTGCTGGAGGAGACCCCGGGCAGGAAAAGAGGGAGGCGCCGAGCACAGGCGGGGGGGCAGGAGGAGTTTCTTGCAGCTTAAGGGGTTTTTCGGGAAGATTTTAAAGGTATGGCGGGGGGGGGGGGGGGGGCTTGCTCCAGTAGCAAAGACGTTTAGAGCAGCAGCAGCGGGGAGCTATTTTCATTTCCAAGGTGTCCAAAATAGAAGGGGAGGGACTGGGCGGGGAGCGGCCGCTCAGGTCCGAATTCCCGAACTGAGAGTTTTCTTTCTTTCATTTTTTTTTTTTTTAGAAAAGTTCGGAGCCGCCGCCGAGGCTGGAGAGCAGAGCGGGAGCAGGGAGGAGGGCGGGTGGAGGCTGTGTGTGGAGGAGCGGGGTGATGGGAGCCTGACAGCTCGGCCGTTTCGCTGACCCCTCCCTCGTTTCCTCTGCGCCCCCTTCCCCACCCGCAGACTTCTCAACGAGAGCGAGAAGCGGCCCTTCGTGGAGGAAGCCGAGCGGCTGCGCGTGCAGCACAAGAAGGACCACCCGGATTACAAGTACCAGCCCCGGCGGAGGAAGTCGGTAAAGAACGGCCAGGCGGAGGCGGAGGAGGCCTCGGAGCAGACGCACATCTCCCCGAACGCCATCTTCAAGGCGCTGCAGGCCGACTCTCCGCACTCCTCGTCCGGCATGAGCGAGGTGCACTCGCCCGGCGAGCACTCGGGTGAGTGAGCCCCCCCAGGGTCCCCAGGCCAGGCCGTCCCCGGACCCCCGCCCCAGCCTAGGCTGGGACTTCGCGCTCCCTGGGGAGGACAATCCACCTTGGGCGCCTAATTCTGCTCCGCTCCCAGCCCAGGGCCCCAGTGGACACACACACACACACACACACACACACACCACGCGCGAGCGCTCAACCCCAGAACCCTGAGAGAGATTTTTTTTTTATTGCCAGGTAAAATGCCTTCCCAGTTTTTACGCAACTTACTCCCTTGTCTCTAAGCTCTCCCACCCCAAAAGCACACAGGGCGCTCTTCTACAGGTAGTAATTTGGTCTTCCGGACCCTGGGGCCTTCGGACCCTCCCCTGATAGAAGGGGACTGCCCAGTGTGTGCCGGCGAGTTAATCATTGCGGGACTCACCTCCGGTGCAGCGCGCCTCCTGAGAGGTGCGGGTCCTTATTACACCTGAGCAACAAGGGAGGGTCCCAGGCGGTTCCCGGGGCTAAGACCTCAGTTGATTTTTCCCGTGCTTCTTTTTTATTACCTGCAGGGCAATCCCAGGGCCCACCGACCCCACCCACTACTCCCAAAACCGACGTGCAGCCTGGCAAAGCTGACCTGAAGCGAGAGGGGCGCCCCCTGCCCGAGGGGGGCAGACAGCCCCCCATCGACTTCCGCGATGTGGACATCGGCGAGCTGAGCAGCGACGTCATCTCCAACATCGAGACCTTCGACGTGAACGAATTTGACCAGTACCTGCCCCCCAACGGTCACCCGGGGGTGCCGGCCACGCACGGCCAGGTCACCTACACGGGCAGCTACGGCATCAGCAGCACCGCAGCCACCCCGGCGGGCGCGGGCCACGTGTGGATGTCCAAGCAGCAGGCGCCGCCGCCCCCGCAGCAGCCCCCGCAGGCCCCGCCGGCCCCGCAGGCCCCCTCGCAGCAGCAGCAGGCACCCCCACAACAGCAGGCCGCGCCCCCGCAGCCCCAGCAGGCGCACACCCTGACCACGCTGAGCAGCGAGCCCGGGCAGTCGCAGCGAACGCACATCAAGACGGAGCAGCTGAGCCCCAGCCACTACAGCGAGCAGCAGCACTCGCCTCAGCAGATCGCCTACAGCCCCTTCAACCTGCCGCACTACAGCCCCTCCTACCCGCCCATCACCCGCTCGCAGTACGACTACACCGACCACCAGGGCTCTGGCTCCTTCTACAGCCACGCCGCCGGCCAGGGCTCTGGTCTCTACTCTACCTTCACCTACATGAACCCCGCCCAGCGCCCCATGTACACCCCCATCGCCGACACCTCCGGGGTCCCTTCCATCCCGCAGACCCACAGCCCACAGCAGTGGGACCAGCCCGTCTACACACAGCTCACCAGGCCTTGAGGAGACCTGGAACAAAGGGCAGCGAAGGGGCTGAGATGCTCATAAAAATAACCGAAGAAAGAAAGAACCAGAATTTCCTTTGGACATTTTTGTTTTGTTTTGTTTTCTCCTGTTTCTTAAAGACATGAGAGCTAAAGGCGACTCGTACAGAGATTCCAAGACAGAAACATTATGTATCCAAACGCATGACCAACTTGTTGCCTGTGAATCGGTGGCCAGGCCAGCAGCACTGGAGACAAACTGGACTTAGACTTTTTCGTCAGAGCAAGTGTGGAGGATGATGGAGAATCGTGCGACTAATGTGCTCAATCTCCCTGCCTGTCTGGACTTTGTAATTATTTTTTAGCAGTAATTAAAGAAAAAAAGTCCTCTGTGAGGAATATTCTCTATTTTAAATATTTTTAGTATGTACTGTGTATGATTCATTACCATTTGAGGGGATTTATACATATTTTTAGATAAACTAAATGCTCTTATTTTTCCAACAGCTGAACTACTCGTAGTTGAACAGTGTGCCCTAGCTTTTCTTGCAACCAGAGTATTTTTGTACAGATTTGCTTTCTCCTACAAAAAAGAAAAAAAAAAAAAGCAAAGTATGTCATTATATTAACATAAAAAAGACAGAAATGTGTTCTGTGATTAGTTTGGGGGGTGAGCTTTGCTTAATTCCTCAGGCTTTCAGAGATTCAAGGAGGAGCTGCCTTAATACAGAAAAAAAAAACAACTAAAGCCTTATTTTGCAAATATGGAAGTCAACAAATAGTCTAGAGACACATTTGGTAAGCTTTATCATATATGTATAGATATATATTTTAAACAAGAGGAAAACACCTTGAGCCTTAAAACCATGCTGCTGGAAAAATACTTGTGCTCTTTTTAGTGGGAGTCCTCCTGCCTTTGCTTGTTCGCTGCAGTCTTAAGAAAGAAGCAAAAGGCCAGCAAAGGAGACGGAATCTGTGTAGGTGCCGCATCAGCAGCCAGCAAGTGTCCCAGAGCTCTGCCCCTGGTTGCCTGCTCGGGCCCCATGTGGACCCCAGATGCTGAAGTCTACCTACTCACATTGTCACCTGTGCCTGTCTGAACACCAGCAGTTAACCTTCAAGACATTCCACGTGCTAAAAAAATTATTTATTTTGTAAGGAGAGGTTTTAATGGAAAAAAAAATCTTCCTCCTTTTTTTTTTTTTTTTTAATTTGCCTTCTTTAAAATAGGTTGTTGGAGCCTTCCTCAAAGGGTATGGTCATCTGATGTTAAATTATGTCCTTAACTGTAACCAGTTTTTTTATTTATCTCTTTAATCTTTTTTTATTATTAAAAGCAAGTTTCTTTGGATTCTTCGTCCTAGATTTGTACAAATTCCTTTTTGTCCGTCTTTTTTTTTTTTCTTTGTTGTTTTTGTTGAAAACAAACTGGAAACTTGTTTCTCTCTCTCTTTTTTGTATAAATGAGAGATTTGCAAATGTAGTATATCACTGAGTCATCTACAGTGTTTTCTGCCACAGACTTATGGGCTGCCTAAATTGTTTGCGTGTGTTGTGACACAAGATAATGCAAGTATGTGTCGAAGATATTCCTCTGTAAGTTCTCAGAGGGTGAAGACACACCTCACGGAGAAGGAGCCCACTGACAGACCTTCTTCCTTAATCACTGCTGTGGTTGGAGAGTTCGAGGATTGCTTTTTAAAAAAGACAGCAGACTTTTTTTTTTTATTTAAAAAAAGATATATTAACAGTTTTAGAAGTTGGTAGAATAAAATCTTAAAGCACTCTTATAATATGGCATCTTTCAATTTCTGTATAAAAGCAGATCTTTTAAAAAATACTTCTGTAACTTAAGAAACCTGGCATTTAAATCATATTTTCTTTTTAGGTAAGGTTTGGTTTGTGTTTGTGTTTTGTTTGTTTCGCTTGTTTCCCCTCCAAACCTTTGTTCTCTCTGTGAACTTACCTTTCATTTCTTTCTTTCTTTTTTTTTGTATATTATTGTTTACAATAAATATACATTGCATTAAAAAAGAAAATGGCCCTATGATTTATTTACCCAGTTCTCCTTTGCAAAAAGATGATTTGGGGAATAGGGGCACAAAGGAGGTGGCTCAGTGCTGATTACTATGATGTTTTCATTTGTATGTGATCCTTTGGCAGTCTTGAAACAGACCTTAGAGAAAAGAATCTGAATCCCCAAAACTAAACACAAACATCTTGCAAAGTGCTACCCCTATAGATCACATAGAGAATGACATGTCCATAGTTGCCCGCACTGGCAAAATGCTCCTGGCTTTAACAGCCTCTTGCTTTGGGGCAAAGCTGTTCCTTATAGAGGTCAGGGGGAATAGGGATATTGGGCCTGACATAATCAGCTTGTGAGGAGACAGAATGCCAGAGGGGGTGACTTCCTTGTCTCAATGCCATATGGCAAATTTTGTGTTATTATGAACACATCCCAAAGAAATGGGGTGCCCACTCTCAAAGAAAGGGATCCAGAGTAAAAGAGGCTCTACGGGGGACCAGAGGGAAGCCAGAGATATTAACCCAGGAAATGAGTCAGGTTTGACTTCTCCACAGAGACAGTGGAAGAAGATTCCCTTATTTTTCTATTGCTTCCAGTTTAACTCATTCTGAGCAAATGCAAAACCATCGGAGAAGAAATGGGACCTAATCCTGTTTTCCTTGGCCCCAGTTAGATGGGGAGTTTCCAGGTTCAGAGAAATCAGGTTCAGGTCATTTTTTGTGAAACAGATGAAATCACTCCTTCCCGCCCACCCCACCTCATGTACCCTCAGCCCAGGCCAGATGGGGAAGTCTCCCTGAGAAGGTAAGTCACCTCTGCCACCTCGGGCGGCTTGTCTGCCAGGACTGTGGCCCTGACAGTCCTCCTGCCATTACCTCACATTGTCTGCTTCTGCTTATTGGATTCCTGGCATGCATCCCACATGGGGATCCTGGCAACCAGGAAAATGGTAGTTACCAAATCGAGGCCACATTAGTAATCGGCCTCCTTTGCAAATTCCTGCAACAAACGTTGATTGAGGGCCTGTGATCTGCAGGGGCCTGTGCAAATCCCTACCCCTGCAGACATCAGATTCTGCTCCTTGTTTACGCCACAGCCTCCCAATCACTGAGGCCCACGGTTTATCCGCCATTCTTACAAAATCTCCCTCTCTTTCTCTCTCTCCCCCTCTTGTCAACATTCACAAAGTCCTTTTGAAAAATTTTTGTGGTATTCACTAATTCTTGCCCACCTTATTCCTCCTAATCTCTTTGATAAAATTAATACTCACTGTCCCAACTGTGAACACGCCCTTCCAGATCAAAACTGTCCTGTTTGCTAGACTTTTCTCTCTTTTCCTAAGCAGGAGACCCTGGCCAGGCCTTCTTAGAGCCAGAATGTTCAATTTGGACATCAGCTTGTTAGGTGGCCTAAGGCAGGTTGCTTCTCCCTGTGACTCAGTTTCCCTCTGCTGTGGGAATGCTTCTCTTTCCTCCTACTTGTAACACAGTGGTTAAGAGAGCAGTTTTTCAACCAGAAAGAGTCAAAGAGTTAACTGCACCCGCCTCTTTTGGTCTGTGCAGCAGTCCTCTTGCATTAGAATTTTGCAGAGTGACTCCCAGGACAAAGGTTCTCTGCAAAGTCCCAGAGAGGCTGATACAGGAGACCCTGGAGTCCAGAGAAAGAATTCCTCAGAATCTCGCTCACCCTCTTCTACCAGAACTAGTCAAAGCCCCACATCACCAGATTAAAAAATAGTTTAGAGGAATTTTTATTCTAAATCCAGAAACATAGAGCTTATCACCCTGGCAACGAGAACACATTGATTGGAAACCTAGCAAAGAGTCCTCCAGAACAGAAAAACCTTGTACTTAGACCCAAGGTTATTTGTTTATTTGTACTCAAGACTTTTCTTTTTTAACTATTTTGACAAAGGAGAAGTTTTGCTTTCTTTTTTTTAAAACAAGAAGGAATAAAAACAAACTCATTGGACATCAGTCTTTCGGTCTATTGTGAAAATAGAACCATATGAGCTAGTGTGAGCTGTGTGCTTAATATTGTCACTTTAAATCTATCCCATCCTTTCTTATCCCCTGATTTCCAAAAGGAATACTTCGGAGGCACCACAGTAGCATTTTTTTATATGGAATTCATGGATGAACCATCACCATAGCCAGAAATGGATTTACTAAGAAGCAAATAGAGGCTGATCTTCAACACTCCTTAAGCACAAGCTTAGGGGTCTACATTTAATCTCACTGTTTCAAAATTTATGTTCTTTTTCTTAAAGAGCTCCCTCAAAATAAGTTTTTTTAAAAAGTAGTAGAAGCGCCAGCCTGCACAAAAGCTGGGTCTGCCCATGACCACAGCCGTTGGGCAGCAAAACCATGGCACGGAAGCCTGCAAACAAGATACATATCAATCTGTTCTCAACAGTGGCTGGCACAGAGTAGGTGCTTAATTAATACCCACCTTGTATCATATCCACATCCGGATGGCATTGCCAGAGATCCGTTATTGGGACTTTCTACAGTAACATTCTACCACGTAACCTTACACAAGTTTCTTATCATTCTGGGACTCAAATGATTTTCATTCCCCTGGTGATGTCATCTTGTGGGCATAATTAGAGTTAGATTAGGTAAGGCAAGCAAAATAGTGATATGATCCCTCCACCCAACTACTTATTTACTTCACCTTTCTTATTCATTTCTTCTTATCCTTTCTTCCACCACTTCTCTTGTACATTTTCATTGAGTAGCCCATGGACTCTTGCAGCCAGAGCATTTGCTGGGCCCATTACCTAGCCCTAAAGGCTAATTCCTTTTCCTTCCCTCGCAGATTAGAATTAGTTTGCTCGAGATTTCTGGAGGATAATCCTCTTCAGACAAAATCCAACATAGTCAGACAATCTCAAATTTGCATTCATTTGAAACCACAAGACTAAATTTGAGGTGGTGTGTTTATTATTGGGACACTACTTTTAGACACATTTCTTAAATTTTCAGGATTTTATATTGAACTTAATACAATTCCCATTATTCTATGCTTCCATATTCCGCTTTAAGAGTACTTCTGCTCTCATTCTTTCTACTTCCTCATTCTTTCCATAAACATTTGTTGGCCTGCTTCAGGATAAAACAACAAGAAAGAAAGACTTCCCTGGTGGAGCTTACATTTCCTCATTTGCATTTTCTTATCTCATCCCATTTAAACATGCAAATGATGGGACCATCTAGGAGGCCACACAGGAATAGGGGAGTTGGTGACCAGTTTGAGAATGGTTTGGTGAGAAATTTCTGACCTCCTTTCTTCCTCTTATGATCTTTGTCTACTTTCCAGTGACATGAAATTGACTGTGATCCAATTTGCATTTACCTCACTACTCTCTCCTGCCCTTGACCACAACCCTATATGGGTCCACATATCTGGCCTTCCTCATTTTACCGGAGACTCCAGAAGAAGGGTTCCATACCTGGTACCCCCAAAGGTCTCTTGGATCTCCAGAGAATTGTTTAATGCGGGCTGCATATTTATGGAACCAGAGATTAGGGAGGTGCAATGAGAAGTCCTTCAGTTCGCACATGTTGTCATTGCAGAAATGCTTTGGAGAAGCTCTCGGTTGTTGAATACGTCACCATCTCTTCTGAAATGCTTGCATTGACGGGGAGGTCGCTTCCACTGTCATGGAGTTTTTAATTGTGGGAAAATCTTATCTCTGCATTTTCCACCCAAATGTCCAAAAGCGCCCACGTCTATACCAGTATGGTGTGAATATCTTTCTATCCAAATGAAAGATAGCCCTTCAATTATTCGTACTATTTTCAAGTTTTTTAGTCTTTTCCCGCAAGCTAAACATTTCCAATACATTTTACATATGTTTCCCAACTCCCTTCATATCTTGTTATTCTTCTTTCAATATACTTTACGTACTACTATTCTCAAACTAGCACGCCCAGAATTATTCCTGGGACTCTGAATATGATTTGAATAACATGGAATACAAATATATTTACCATTATTATAATCAGAAATTGTGCTTCTATTTATATAAGTTAAAGTTGCACTAGCCCTTGTAGCAGGCCAAATCACCTAGTTAGGTTGAACAATTTCTCAGAGTCTGTAATTGAGAGATGGATTTTTTGAACCTGATTATGAAGTTTCACATTTACCCCTGTTTTAACTGCAGTATGACAAATATAGGCTCAATGGAAAGAAAAAAAAAAGGAAAGCAATTTACATCATTGGGCCCTTACTCTGCCAAGTAGTATGACAGATGTTTTATATACATGATCTCATTTAATCCATTTAGTAACTCTTAAAGAAAGGTGTTATTGCAGTTT